ATATATATCCATGGATCGGGTCGGGTCGTACGATCACGGTAATGTATATACACGACTATATGGATCGGACCGAACGTCCTCAGCATAATTCGTGCATAAAATCGCTAAGAATCCGAGTACCCACGAAATTACCCTCTTAATTAAACTTGAAAATGACATATTACTTTCTCTATGACATGAGATGAGATATCTAATTAAGGGTTCCTATTTGTTGAGATAGCATGAGGCCTTGGGGACATTTTAATTGATAATTGATGTTAACTGATTTTGTTATCTACTGTTCCTTAGTCTATTAACCATGTTGTAATTCATGCCTATTTATTATTCTTGTATTTTATTTATTGGACTACTAGTAAGTGTCGATGTCGATCTCTCGTCATTACCTCTATGGGGTTAGGCTGGATACTTACTAGGTACACGTTGATTTACGTAGTGATACTACAATTCTGCACTACACGTGCAGGATCTGACAAGTCCATTTGATGGTCATCCTGGCGCGTAGGCGCAACTGCTGAGGGGACATTATGGTGAGCTGCTTTCTATGCTATGCACCGTAGCCCTCAGAGTCTCCATCTTATTTATTTACTCTGTCCTGTCTATTTTATATTCCAGATAGATGTTGTATGATTATTACACTCTTTAGCAGACACTCATGTATTGTGATACCGGATTTTGGGATATTCTAGTTGATGTTTACAGATTTGCATATTATTGACACCTTTTATTTTTATGCCTTACTAGTTATGTATGTACCCATGATTTTAAATGTGTAAATTTCTTTACTTAATAAATTTTATGATTTCGAAAGTAATAAAATGAACAATTAATGTGATAATTCACTGTTGGCTTGTCCAACAGCGACGTTGGGCACCAGCACGATCTATAATGGATTTTTGGTCGGGACACTTAGTAGATAGAAATTTCCAAGGAATCAATTATTTTATGTCTTGAGTTTATTTCGTTACTTATCTAAGTGGTCTTATCAGTTTTGTCCTTTAGTTTACCTTTACTGTATTCATGCGCGTTTTTTATGAATTTGCTTGAAACACATGGGAGTTCCATCATTGCCATAAATGTTTAGGGTCTAGAATCTTTTAAATACGACAATTTCTGTCAAAACTGTTCATTTTTTTTATTTTTTAATTATCTAGTTATTCCTCTTCGCATCTGGAGGACACTTATTTTATTATAATAGTGATATTGGTGCCACTTTATCGATTTTTATTTTATATATTGTAAGATGATTTTACTACTTGAGGACTTGTTATAAATGTCATGGGCGGCTTTCCAACCATGCCCCATGACCCCTTGGACGCGCCCCGTGGCGTCCTGGTAAGTTTCCCAATGCCCGTCGCCACAGTCGGCCTCGTGGTCTCGGCAGCTCCAAGTGACAAGCGCGCATGTGCTTCTGTCGCCCCACCGATAACCATCGCCAGCGCCCAGCCACAGGCAGATGCCAACAGCGTCGCGCGCGCAGACAATGCCTCGCACGCAGACCCTGATGCTAAAGACAAAGTTGCTGCCAACGGACTTGTTTCTGCTTTGTAGAAGACTAAGTCTTTTTCATTGTAAATATAGAGTAGTTTTACTGTATTTTCTTTAAGTGTGATTTTTCAGCTTTCATAGGTCTAGTCATGTAACTTTGGTTTATTTTTTTTAAGCATTATTAAGGGGGACCAAGCAATCAAAACTTTCAAGCAAGCAAACAATTCTCTGTACTGGTGTCTCTCCCCCCGACACCATCTTATTTTTCTGGAATAGCTTTCATTCAATGCAATCAAGCTTTCTTTCATTATCAATTCTCTTTTCTGCTCTCTTTCAATTCCTCATGACATTGGTTTTCCCGTACGGCACTGACAATCTAGTCTAGCGTACGGAGGGGACCTCAGTTGGCGGATAGCAACCGTATTGACATCGGTTGCTTAGCCTTACATCGCCCTTTCAAGGAATTTCAGGAAGGCGCCGCATAACAGTTGGTATCAGAGCCTAGGCTCGACATCGGACGAGGGATTACATTACAATTACCACCATTTCTGACCATGGTGAATTATGGGGATCACATCGCGACCCTTGAGGGAACGATTGACGCATTTCGGCCCATCGTGGAAATGATGCCTGACACAAAGACCAGCCTAGTGCAAAGGTTGGATGACCTGGACCGCAGAATGGTCCAGGCCAAAGTTGACATAGAAAACATCAGTCGTGACTCTGAAAGAGACCGGCAAACGGCAGCCACAGAGGCAGCCGAAATTTTTGGTAAATTCGAGGCCCTCCAGCAGGAGCATGCCGAGGATTTAGCCAACAGGGAACAAGAGGCAGACAGGATGACTGCCATGCAACAAACTATAGACAACTTGACAGGCCAGCTCAACGTTGTCAATGCTGCTTTACAAGGCCTACTTCGAGGAGGCGGAAACCAATTTGGGGGTGTGTGAACCTCGCCCCTATGGCACAAAAGCTGAAAATTCCTGAGCCAAAGCCATACAGTGGAGCTCGGAATGCCAAAGAAGTGGAAAATTTCATTTTCGACATCGAGCAATACTTCGATGCCGTGGGAAGCCTGGAAGAAGCTAAGAAGGTAGCAACTGCTGCCATGTATCTTCAGGGTGATGCCAAACTCTGGTGGCGGGTGAAGTACGAAGCCATCAAGGCAGGTGAAGATGCCCTCGACACATGGGCGGAACTGAAGGCAGCCATACGCCTACAGTTCTTCCCCGAAAATGTTGAGTACAATGCCAGGAGAAAGTTGCGGGAGCTCCGCCAGACCAAATCAGTGCGAGATTACGTGCGGGAATTCTCCGCGCTCATGCTGAACATCCGTGACATGGGGGACAAAGACAAACTCTTCACCTTCCTGGAAGGGTTGAAACCTTATGCCCGGATGGAGTTGCAGAGACAAAGGGTAGACACGTTGCCTAAGGCAATCCAAGCAGCAGAGTGCCTTGGGGATTACCAAGTGGAAGCCCGGAAGGATAGGCCTCAACA